TCTCTCTCTCTCTCTCTCTCTCTCTCTCGCTCGATTCAGACCTGGCTTTCCCTCAATTTATGTTATATTCATATCTATCGATAAAACCTTTAGCTAAAGGGCGTCGGCATTGACTGCTAAATGACAAGAGAAAAGCTATTCAATGCTTGATTGCAATAATCTTTACATAAAACTATGAAATTTGTATTCATATTAGCAGTGATTCTAAATTTCTATTCAAATTCAAAACATAATATTTGTTTAAATTACAGCACTATTCAAAATAACAAAGTGTGACAAATATGTATTAAATACTATATACTTAATGATTACATAAATGATTGCTATCTTATTAGAGGATCTAATCTCGCAATCATTAGTCCTATTCTTCATTAGTTACAAATAAATGAGTTTTCAAACTCTTAACAAACGATTGCATGTAATGTATTGAATACTATTGACAAAATTATATTGATACTATTATTAGCTATTTTTACTCCATTATGTTATATAGAATATAATCTTGTAAATCACTTCTATTAATAGAAATGGTAATCAATTTATTCATTTTAGTAAATTTTATAATATTTTTTGATTGACATGCGAAAATGAGTTTATTTTTTGTGGTGTAAAATTAATTGATTAGTGATTTATTTGGATTTGAGTATAAATAAATAGCATTATTAATGCATTCACTGAAATATTGACCTTTTTATCAAAAGTAAGACCAATTCCTTACTCTATAGTATAGTAAATACTTTCATTCAAATGTGAGTAAATAAAATATCGATATTCCTGAACATAATTTTCTATTTAATGAAAATGTTGACATTTTAAACATAATAAATATTGTATAAAATTCATATTTTTTATATAATTGAAAAGTTGAAGAATGTGGTGATTTATTGGCTTTTATTCACAGCTTCTATGAATTGCCTCTCGTTTTAGACTCATTAATGATCTAATATTTGTACATTTTTGGTCATCAAATAATAATGAACTCATCAATTGATTTCCATTGAAATGCTTTTCTATAAGAAAATCCATATTCTTAGAGAGCATACCATTGATGTAATCGACACAACATTAACTCAATTTCTATTTAAAGCCTTAATTTCATGACTTTTATTACAATTTATTTTGATTGGAGAAGTAATTCAATTAAAATGTTTGCAACAAATTTCTGTTTCTCCGGCTATAGAGAGGTATTGCTAACAAAAAAATCAATTCTTTCAATCATTAGATTGTTTGGGAATTGAACTGAAAAATAGCTTTTTTGTCCATTAATTCACAGCTTAGACTATATTCAGATGAAACCTCCATTATATTCTGTATAACATAATAATATTTTCTTTATTATGTTTTACTAAACAAAACTCTCATTAAATTCGTTAACATTTAGCAAACATTGCGTATAATTAGGCAATCATTGGCTGTGAAATGTAAATCTTTGTCAATGTTTGATATGTCATCGGGTCTTGTAATTTGCTTTCCCTTAATGAGCTAATACTTGAACATCAAATGACTTCTTGTGGAAAGAGTTTTGGCTTAGAACTGATATAATTGTCTCCATTTTATCTCAAACCCAATTATAGCGGAAATATACAAATCTTTTATACATTTATCAATGTTTCAAATGTACGGCAATCACGAGTGATGTCGTTGTCAATGGACTACCAGTGCTCTTATCTCGAGTCGTAAGTTCTTAGTCAGCGCTATAGAGACCGTACATCATGTCGACCATCATTTTGTGTGATTTATCACTACTACTGGACCCAAACAAATAACTCTTGAGTGGATGTGAACTTTTTAAACTGTTTGTTCAAAAAATATCAATTTTGAGATTTTCACTGTCACTGACTGTCAGAATAAATGTATGTTTTCTGCAATTGAAGTGCATTTTTTGAGTACTAAATTGCAGTGATTTATTTGTTACTATATTTTAAAACTAAAAATTCCCAACACTGCAGTTTTAACCACATTACTAATTGTTCCAGAGTTTTTCAAATTAATTTCTATTATATGATTGAATCGAAACACATTTTCCTGTTTTTTTTGCTATAATAGGCACTTATGAAAGAATATTATTTATTAATTTGTTTAAATTCTTGTTTTATTTGATTTTCATTATATTTAAGTGCAATATTGAATATTATATGAGATAGTTACTTAATATAATTGTATTTATAAGTTATAATATTTTTAGATAAATAATAAAGTAGGTAATTACAAAATTTACAATCAATTTTACACTAAAGCAAGAATCCCAAGAATGTGTCGACACTTATACTCATCTTATTAACGAATATAATTGATAATTTTTAAAGTAGACTTTTAAACTAGTAAATCATTTAAATTGATGGAACCTACAAATTTTCTAGCTAATTTGCTAAGAATCTCAATTACTGTATAATATACACTGTATATTACTGTATATTATACAGTGTATATGCTAAATTCTATAAAAATACAAAAGTAAGAAGCTGCTATATCTTATATTCTACCAATGGATTTCATGTATACCCAAATATATGACTCACAAAAATATTATTTCTATATTTATAATTATACTAGTGACAATTAAAGAGAAATTACAATATAATGAATAAACTAATATAGTAATGCATTTAATGTTCCCATTGCCCCATAACTCAGTAAATACAAAAATAAGTCAATGCGGTATTATTTTACCCAAATATATTATCATGGATTGAACTTTGAGTTACAAATACAGATAAATTTGAAAGATGTAGTCAACAAAAGTTTTATTTAACCCAAATTTGTTAATTTATAAACAAACAAATAATCTAGGTTACTTAATTTTATCCATTATCTACTGTATTATACAGTACTGTAACTTGTTTGAATTTAGTTCTTAAAGTTTATCATAAACTCTTATAAACTGAATATTCTGACAAATTCTGTAACTTAAAAAATTCAAATTATCAATATTACAGATAATTTTCTAATCAGTAATAATAAAAAGTTATCCATTCTTATAGTGTAGTCCGAGTGGTGTTGTGTTTGAATATAAGCCTAAATAATATGTGAGTTAAGACTAATAGTGAGGACAATATGTTTTGATAGCAAACAAAACAAAGAGCAGGTGTTAGTTGTGTTGGTTTTGTTCGCTCACGTAATCCATGTTTAACTCATGTTTTTTGGAAAAGTCATAAATTTTATAGTTTTGGCCGAAAAGCTGTTTTTCTCTATTATTAGTAGATTTTCTGCTCAGAGTTTGCATTCTTTTGTATTATTTAAGAATTGGATATAATATTCAATAGGAATTCATATTCAAAACATAAATATAAAAAGTGATAAAACTTTTGTACTAAAAATAGATGAAAGATAATTAAAAACTCCATCAATAGGTTACGAAAAGTTTTGATATAAAAATGAGTAAATCTATTGTTTTTTGGGACTATTTTTTCTTATTGTCGATAATATCCATAACAGAAGTTTGCATTTGCATAATTAAATTCCTGATATTATTGACTCTAAAAAACGGTAATTGATGTGAGGGTTGGGTGGAGTGGAGATTGAATACGTATTTTTGGAGGAAAACACCCAAAAATATATTACCGGTGCTCTTATGTGTGTATAGTGTATGCCATGGAATCGATGCGCCAGACATTTGGTGCCATAAATTAGATTTACAGCAAATAATTATCCAATACTTGTATTCCCGTCATTGCATACAACTCTTGAAAACTGAAGTTTTGTTGCCTTTTGTATCGCAAATTCAATTCCCGTACAAATGGTTTCATTTGAAAAATTAAATAACTATTTGGCTTAAGTATTATCTCTCAGACAGTAATCATAAGTAATCAGTTTTATGAGTTTTACACAACTTTGAAATAAGTTTCAATAAAAAAGTTAACAAATCTGTAATTATTTGTTGTTTAAAGTGAACCAAATTGTTTACAAACTTGAAACAAATGATTTGAAACAAAAATACCATTTTTAAAAATTTATATTTTATTTGTAAATCGTTTCTTTGTATAATATAAGCTAATAATTATAAGTTAAGTAATACTCAAATATGTATATATTTAATATATAAATTTTAATTTAATTAGTTTTATATAAATTTAATTTTGTTTATAATAAATGATTAGTATTTATCGATCAATGATTGCAAAAAAGGGAAAAAACTCAATTAATTGCACAAATGTGTGTATTTTGTTACTTAAATGAAACTAAAATAAAACTCTTATATAATCCAAGAGAAAGAGAGACAAAAGATTGTATTAAATTAAATATGAATTAAATTAATGGGATTCTCAAGTATATTATGATCAGGATAATAGACTTCGAAATACTGTCACTACGAATATGGATTGAAATTTGCGTTAAAATTCACAAATTCTTGTGAATATCGCTTTGGAAAGAGAGTTACGACTCCTTTCAGAGGTCTTCAAAGAGAAAATAAGTTGTTTTTTGTCGTCTTTGGCGGCAGACATGTATGCCATCACTTGGAGCGCAACCCCTCTTTTGGCACCGTTTCATAAATGAGAGTAATTTTTAGGACAGTTTGCTCTTAAGGCAAATTCGTTGTGTGTTTTCGTGTTATTATTGAAATAATGTCGTGTTTTTAGTCGAAACGAAAATAAGTTTCACTAATGATAACAATAATATGCATTAACTATGAGTTAAGAGTTCTCCAATTATTACACTTAAGTCTTACACAACAAAACACAAACATATCATCAAAATATATGTTATTATTACAAAAAAAAGTAGACTTCAGTCGAACACAAGAAAAATATTAATTTTTCTACAATTTATGAGATTATTATTAAATCAAATCTATAGACTTCGCTCATTATTATCACTGTTTGCCACCATATGTGGGGTTCTTGAAGGTAGTGGTCGCCTGTTTGAAGATTGGATTCTCGCCCTAAACAACAACAACAAGTCATAAGCAAATCAATCACTAATAGTGTTATAATGGGTTATAAGGTCTGGAGGGGTGCCAGAGCACCGGTACATACCGTGTCCCACTTCGCCATCATCCTCTCCTTCTCGAATTTGGCGAATTCTCTTCTGTCGTGAATTGTTGTCAAGAGTTTCCAAATGAGAAGAAGTGCTAAACCGATGAGAACTATGCCGACGATGACGCCGATAACGATGGCCAAGACATCGACGGGTTCGGGACAGTCCTTGGTGTTCTGGGCGACCACGTAAATGACATCCTCTTTCTCTTCGTACTTGTATTTGAATTGGAATTTGCAGTCATCGTCATCGATGAAGACACACAACTGTTCCCCTTCTGTCACATCGAAATCAGAGGTTCCGATCGGGTTTATGGAGCACTGATTGCACGCGTCCTCGTCTAAGGGCCCGCTCTGATGGATACGGCACTGAACGCACTCTTTGTATATTTCGCACTGAGATTTACATGTGGGGCAGTCCTCGCAGTACTGTCCCGTGTATTGTTCGTCACCTTTGGCCTCACACTGGCATTGACCGCATTTACACGTCCCTCTGTTATTGCACTCCTTGTTAGTGCGGGGGTCGACACAGTCCTCGTTGGACTTCTTGCAACTACAGTCGGATTTGGTCCAATCATCGTTGCACAGACAGGTGCCGCACTCGCACTTGCCGTGATCCGGACCACTGCACACTTTGCCGTCATTTCGATCGCAACTAAAGTTATCGCATTCGCAGTACTTTCCCGTCACCTCTTCGGGCGCTTCGCGTTTATAACACTCGCATTCACCACATCTGCAGTCAAAGACAAATCATTCAATAAATTATATGAAATCTACAAATGAGACAAAAAACAGTGATCACTGACCTGCAGACGCCTCTTCCTGAACACACTTTGGTGTCATTGCCGTGAATACACGACTGTTCCTCTTCGGCGGGATTCGCTTCCTTGGCGTCGCACTCACAGCGCCGGCCGTAGAAGTTGTCATTACACGAGCAAATGCCGC